GGGTGTTTCTTCTGAATTGCAGCCAGAGCTACTGCCGGTGATGCCTGAGCAGAACTAATATCACGGACAATCTCTCTGGATGGATCGCTGAGTCCGCTCATCTGTCGCTGACCCTCGGGATTCACAGCAAACGCATGATTATGCGTCCCCTTCTCGTCATCTAAAGGAACCGAGATACAAAATTTTTTGGATGTTGCATCACGTTTGACGTTTATCATAAAAGGGCAGCCGGTGTATTTTGTTTTCGATTTTCTCATAACAACCTTAACGAAATTTCCTACTTTTCCTGCAGTACCTCGGTAACGTTCCCCTCGATGACACCTCAACTCTTTTCCTCCGTTATTTAAATTTCTCGAGATCACCAACTGGAAACCCCATATTATTGCAATATTTTTTGCTCATATAACAGCTTCGTCACAACTATCAAATAGGTCACTTGTAGCGAAACAACATCCGTAATCAACACCGTCTCCTCCAAAATCTTCGATTGACCCCTGCTTACCATATATGTTAATAAGTTAATAAAATAATTTATAATATTATAAATTAAGTTTTATAAGAAATTCATTCTAATTTATAACTTAATATTTAATGCTAATAAAATTTCTTAATATAATTAAATTAATTTTATACTATTATACTATTAAAATTTTTATACTATTATATAATTTTGCTAATAGTTATCCTAAATTAGTATTTATAAAATATTTAATTATCCCAAATATAGTAGTATAACTAATAATATAGTAGCATAAATAGAATGTTTAATTATCCTAAATACAAATTAATTTATACTAATATAATACTTAGTATCATTATTAGTATAATTATTAATATTATTTTAAATATATATTAGTTATAAATATCAATATTTAATATTCATATTTAAGTACTATTACAAAATATTTAATATTTAATATTTAATATTTAATATTCTTAGAAATATTAATATTTAATTTCTTTATTAAATTTTATTGATGAATATTCATATTTAAGTATTATTGAAAAAAAATTTATTATTAACTCTCTTAATTACTTTAAAAGCATTTTTAATTAAAAAACAAAAAAAAAAAAAAATGAATCGGCCGCGGGCCGGCCGCAAACCGCGGCTCGAAGAGCACAAACCGGCCTTAAATCGCGGCCAGGAGCCCACAGGCCGCAATCGAAGGTCGGCTTATACGAACGAGGCCGCAATCGAATGTCGGCCTCTTTGAAAGCGGCCGCAATCTATGGTCGGCTTATACGAATGCGGCCGCAATCGACGGTTGGCCTACACGAATGCGGCCGCATTAGCATGCCGACCGGCGGCCAGATTTTTTTTTTTTGTTTAATTCGTTAAAATTGTAAAAAAAAAATTAAAAAAAATTACTTGTGAATTGGAGACCCCTTTCCCGGTGCTTGAGGATTGTCCCGCCATTTTTTCTTGAATTTTTCGGTAAAAGTTTCGAATTTTTTGGATTTATTTTAATTTTTTCGTAATTTTCAATTCTTTTCAGATTTTTTTTTTTTT